CAGATTCAATATCTGCCCTCCCCAGGCAGCGTTTTCACATCCTTCACACTGTTTCTGAATCGATGTTTCACAAGGATGTAGTCCAGCTGATGCCTCCTCAAATCCCCAGGTGCCTTCCGTGTGTAAATTCTTCTCTTTGGCTTCTTGAACCATGTGTTGGTGACAATCAGTCCATTTCCTTAAAAAAAAATCAACAAGAATTTTCCCCTGTGATTCCCGTCTTCCTAGTCCATGTGATCCAACAATATTCTGATATGGTTCATCTCCAACAGTGCTATTCCAGTCTCCCAATATGATGCTGTTTGTGTCACTTCTTCCATCTTACCTGAAGAATTTCTTCAATTGTGTCATACACTTTTTCCACTTCATCATCTTCATACTCTGATGTTGGCATGTACACTTGCATAATCAGTATATCTACCGGTTCCGCCTTTAACTTCAGAGCAATAATTCTGTCATTACAAACAATCTTCTTAGCAACACTCCTCACTACACTTTTATGCACCACTATTGCCATACCTGTTTCAACCCGGTAACCTCCGGAATAATATACTGTATAATCACCACTTCTAATTTCACCTTGTCCTTTCCACGACACTCGCTGACACCTAGAACGACACCTCATTCTTCTGCATTTCCGTTTTCAAATTCTCCAATTTGCCTGCTTGATTCAAGGTCCTTACATTTCATGTTCCAATCTTGTAGCCATGATATTCCTTCTGATCTTCGCACTTTTTCTTGTTGTAACGCCTGCATGACATTTCCTCTAGAAACACTCCCCCCGCCGGAGATCCGATTGGATGAGTAGTTTCCCTCCGGATTGTTTTGTCTCCAGAGGAAACATCTCACATACATAGTATCTCTGTTTTTGGAAAGAGACTATCCAGGGAAAGCGATAATGTGGTAGTTTTTCCATTTGCTTTCCACATCACAGTACAGCAGCCGTTCAATCCACTCTGGTCACGCCTGTTGCTATACGAACTCGAACCATCTCGAGCATCATTTGCTCTGTGCTTCAAGTCGCTACTGATGACGCTGCTTCTGGCATCAGTTTTTGGTGACTCTCTTCGTCTGATGCCTACCCTTTGACCTGTCCAGCAAGGTAGGCCCTGCCAGTAGCTACGCTACCGCTGGTATAGCTCTCAGGGTCCTTGGCATACTCAAACCCCCTCACCACGATACGGTGGAGACTCCAACGAGGGGGGTATATAATATACACATTAGATATTAAGATTCAATTGTAAATAAGTGTACATAGTGACAATGAACTAATACTTCGACTATGACTGACAAATGACTGACCCGACCTCTCGTCAGCGAGGGCGCCCCACCCGGACAGGACTGTAACTTTCACTTAAAAAGTAGTATCTGGTCATGAGCCCCAGCCAGGGCTCGACACCAAGACAGACAGACTGATTCCCGTCAGTCGCAACATGGCTTTGACTTTGACTTGTGTATAAATACTGCGTTGCTTTGGTCACAGCTGTCTGTTTGGCACTTTCTGAAAGGGGTGACGATTGTCTGCCAGACGCTGTGGGAATGATCCCACAAAGGAAAAACTTTCATTGCTCATTCTGTAAAATAATTTGCACAGTTACTTATCCAGGAAAAATTATTTTGAAACAATATACACACCTGAGTTTAAATTGTAGTGAAAGAACGGGTGCACCCAATGTTTCCTTTTCTCCTGTATTCTCATCTTACGCCGTCTGAACCACCACCATGTCATTACAGGAACAATATTATTTTCTGACATTGCAGATGAGAAGTGCACGAAATTGGCGGGCAAACACACCCACTTGAGATGTTGTGAGCAACTAATCGAACGTAAGTTTCCTCAGTGTGCGCCAGCTAATTTGGAAACCAATTGGCTGCTTGAAATCGGCGAAATTTCTCGGGAATCGCGGTTGTGTTGCGGTTGCCAGTTTCCTTTGTGAGCGCCCGGCCTGAAAGACATTTTCTGAGCAATGGGGATATTTATTGATGTATGTGTGATTGTGAGAAGTGGAATGTGACAATAGCGACCTAGACAATCTTTAAAGACATTTTGCGAGCAATGGGGAAATTTGATGATGTAAGAGTATTGACCAGTATTGTGTAGGGGTTAACGGAAATGTTGTTGGTCTAATATTGATGATAGTGATAGTGATTGCGAAGCGAAGGGTCGGTAGGGCAATAGCCGGATTGGCTTTGTTGTTGAGGTTGTTGCAGTTGAGCGTATCGAATATGGGCGAGGGTGTGGTAAGCGGTGGTGAGCAGGTGAAAACAATTAAGTACATAATCGGGGTTAGTGGAGGAAGGTAGGCGGTGTAGTACGCTTAGTATTCCGGATGTTAGCCTGAACTTAAGGACAAGGATATTTTAATATGGCACAACAAGGTGCCGCCCTCCAGACTTATAACTTGGAACTTATTAAAGGTGGGTGTGAAAATGCGATTGAAGATAAAATTTTAATCTGTGCGAATGATTTTTGAAAGAAACCTGCACAGAAGATCGGTGTTTATTTTTTTCGTATATTCGACGGTAGAACATTCTGTATTTCGATTTAGAGACGATGACACAATATTTGAAGTTATTGAATCCCATTTGCGACCCCTAATTGTAGATGAATTCCACGAAATTGCAGAAGAGATGGTATGAGGTAGTTGGGTGTCTGAGGAACCGCTCCTAACAAAGTATCGATATTTTAACTTCTAACACATGAACCAAAGTGTATTGAAATATTGGGAAATCCAGCATGCACAAAGCGAGATTTTAAATTCTCAGGGAAGTGTGTATGAAGATTACTGTCTTGGGATGTGGTGTGTATTCTGGTGACACGTTACCAACGTTTTGGAGGAAAAGACTGTCTCCTTCAGAGCAGAAGAGTAGAAGATAGACTTAATTTTCAGGATAGATGAGTGACCTGCTACCACCATCTTTAAGGAGAAGCATCTGCTGTGAAGATGGAAGCAGCAGGTTCCTCCAAAACTTGTGTTATATTCAGCTGCACTACATGGTGTCATGTCCCAGAAGACATTAATCTTCTAGATTGCCTAGTTATTGCCACATGAGTTGGCAGTGTCTAGCAGATAACCATTTCATAGCCATGGGCCCTGTATTAAAGCTTCCTTGTTTTTAAGTGTGCCACCTAAGTTGGTTTTGATAATGTGTCTTGATGGAATTTGTACAGTGTAACTTCATTATTATATGATTATGATATATTATCTTCTATAAGGTGTGTAGATTTTCTGTCTTGTTTAAATTTATTTTTGTTTTTTAGTGTTTCTTCCTTTTCCTTATGTATGTTGTTTATTGTTTCTTAAGTATATCATATTGTGAACCCATTGTATCTTGCATTTCTACTAAATTATAGTTTCATTTTATTCTATTTAGTGTATATTAACGTGTTAATTACTGTATTTCGGGTGTTTTATATTCATTGTGCCATGACTTATTTCATGAGATCCATGAATCTGTTTATCCATGTTTATGTTCAGAAGGCAATGAAGTTTAATCCTGTGACTGTTCTAATTGGGAATACCTGCAACAGTATCAACCGGACACTGATGAACATAATCTACAAGTAGAATATGGTATTGATTCCACATTACACCACAAAACACAGAGTCCAGAGCAGTTGATAATTATTTAGTTATTTAAGGAATTACCCACTTCATATTCCCAAAAGCCAGTTAAGTATTATGGCTGTGGGTATTGACGATAGTGGTAAATTGTTTTAATTGTGCATTATTGAATGTAAAACTTGAAACTGTGTCGCAGGAATTCAAATCTGCATGACAAATTATTGCTCTTCTACAAGAAGATATGAACACTTTGAAGAAAGAATTCATGCAAGATGATACGTCAGGGAATACAGGTCCGATGAATATACATAAATATGAAGAAGTAACATTCTTTTTTTTTTTAGTTGTTTCATTTTTGGTCCGTTACACTATCAATCACAAAGTTTTATGATTGAGAATTGATAGTGTACTCAACTATCCTAGCAAGTGTTGTGCTTTTACACGTCAACATATTGTAGCAGCATCCACACAACAAACATAACTGTGAACATCATAAACAACGACAGTGTTTTCATAATTGTAGTAAGTGCCTTTGATGATGGTTGTGTCAAACCGAAACATGTAAGGCAGAAGTGATAAAGAAGTGACCTACAAATTGTTACACTCGACGGACTTTCTATTAACTTTGTAAGTAACATTCATGTTTGTGAAGAGTAAAAGCTGGACAAAATCAAATGTAGATTTTCATAAGAAGATATCACTTAACTTAAAAAATCTTCGCCATCAACTGTAAGGACTGCAAATCGTTTTGAGGTTCTTTATAACCTGGATGAAGGTAGAACACAAGAAGAACTTGGTGGAAGGAAACTTCCTATTCAGTTTTGTACTGATAATAATGACCATAGAATTCAGCAGTCATGTATAAACAACTTAACATATGTGATTCCAATTATTATTAATGGTGTAACCTCAGTGGAAGCGATTAAGTAGAATGTAAACCATAAATTTAAAAGTAGTGCTCAACAAAACCAAGGGCGTAAAATCATGATCATCGTCTACAGTCATGCCCAAGGCTGTGAAGATAATATGAAACATAACCTTAAAGATAGTTACAAGACTGCTGGTTTTGTGAAATCAGGAATATGTATAGAAACATCAGTCGCTTCAGTTTTGGAAGATATTGAATATTTAACAAACAAAGACATAACTTTTTGGGGGGGGGAGGTACAAATGATGTTGGCAAAAATATTCTCAAGGTGGATTAAAACACATAGTAAATTTTGTAGAAATTAATAGTCATACAAACATTATTTTAATGAGTGCCTCATTGATATGATTTATCTGGCTGGTCTTGTGTGAATAGTGAAGTGAAACCCTTTAATAGAAAACTAGTGAATTTTATGAAACCTTTTAAGCATGTCACAGTAGTAAAAGTAGATCTCAAAAGTATTTTTTTTACTGAACAAGGTCTGCATATGAACATTGTAGGCAAAGAAAAAATAGAGTTAAGAAAAGTTAATATTGTTACCACTACTCTTCAAAAACAAATAGAGGAACCAGTCAGTTTATATTGGAAAACTGAATTTGACGATGGGGTAAGTTATGCTTCAAGTGAGGATAATATAATCATAAAAGATCTTAAAGTAGCTGTGTCAGACGATAAAGAAGCTATATCTAACATGGCGGATCAAGAGGAATCTGTCGGTGAGGTAAAAGGAATAACAGAAGACTGGACAAAATCGGAAAACTTGGAAAATTCTACAGAAGTTAGTAACGGTTCAACAGCTAAAGTGCTTCAAGCATCCAGAAGTCATAAGAAAACTCCAATAACAAGGAAAGAGGATTTTTTATAGTAGATGATAAACAATAGATATTAATCCACTAATAATACATCAGAATATCTGTGGTTTGAGAAAGAAACTACTGAGTTATAAACTGTGTGTTTCCAAATTTTCTAGATATCTTGTGTTTCTCAGATCACCATCTTAAACAATTCGAACTTTATCAGGTTAATTTAAATGGTTACAAACTCGGTGCCACATATTGTGGAAAATTTATAGAAAAAGGTGGGGGTTTGTGTTTTTGTGCATAAAAACCAAAGCTATTTAAATATTAATCCGAGTAAATATTGTAAAGATCAAAACATTGAGGTTTGTGCACTAAAATTAGAATCTACCATTCTTAATATTTGTGTAATTGCCGTCAACAGATCACCTTATGGTAATTTTAATTATTTTCGTATTGGATTAGATAGCATTATCAAGTCACTTTACGGAGTCAAATTGATGTTTACTATAGTATGTGGTGACGTAAATATAGATTATCTTATAAACAGTGATAAAAAAGACAATTTGATGCTATGTTACTGTCCTATAATTTATCTGCTATAGTACATTTCCCCACTAGAGTTTCTCCTATGTATAATTGGGTTATCAGATCATGATGCTCAATTGCTAACAGTAAAAGATGTAAATCTACAATTGTTTAAATATATTGTCAGAAACATACATAAATTTCTATAAAAGATTTTAAAATGAATCTAAATTATGAATCCTGGGACAGCAGTTTTGGTAACAATGATAACATGGATGTAGACTTGTTATCTAATATGACCCTTAATAATTATTTAAAAATATTTTATACAAGTTTTCCCTTCAAAAATAATCGAGAGAAGTAATAAAAATTATTGGATAAAAACCGCTATAAGGATTTTCTGTAATCGTAAACATCTTTATTTACTTAGTAGGGACAGTAATGATATCAACTTAAAAAGTACTATCAACAACACTTTATCAAGTGTGATTAAGGAAGCTAAGAGGTCAGTGTACAATAACCAGGTAACTAACTCTACTAATAAAATGAAAACAATTTGGAATATTATAAAATTAGAACCAGACTGAAGGGACATACAATTAGTAAATATCGAAATTCTCCTGAAGCTTTTAATACATTTTTCTATCAACAGCTTCAAGATTATTCAGGACATTAGATATAGCAACATAAAAGGTTGTAGTAATAACAAAAATCCAAAATATTACTTTTCTAAACTTTTTNGTCATAAGGCAATGTCCTTACTTTTATTGATGTGGCCTGAAGGAAGTTAGTCTAAACTATAACACAATTCTTTTCCTAATATAAAATTTAATAATACATTCACTAAAGAGATTGAAAGAATTATCAGGTCTTTAATAATAAACAATCCACTTGGGTGCGATGAAATTTCTACAAAAATATTAAAGGTCAATGCTCCTTTTATCAGTTCTCCTTTAACTTATATTTGTAATGAATCTGTAATACAGGGTGGGGCGCAGAAACTTCCTTTTCTTGAAGGCGAATAAAAGAAAAATTATATCTGATAGACAAAATTTATGTTTAGCTAATGAAAGAACATGCTTTAAAGTTTTAAATCATGTAGTTTTAAACAAAATATCTTGAAGGTGGTGGCCACCATTCTCTGTGCACCGATGCAACCGTTTTCTGAAGTTCCCCGCTGCACGTTCCAACATGTGCACTGGAATGTTGGCTACTTCCTCTCGAATAACATTCTTCAGCTGAAGCAGGTTTGTGGGGCGATGTTTAAAAACCTTTGCCTTGAGGTATCCCCATAAAAAAATCACAGGGTGTTAGATCAGGTGAGTGTGCTGCCCACGGGATGTCACCAAAGCGAGATGAGCCGTCCGGTGAACTTTGCCCTCAAAACTGTCATCGAAGCTTGGGCTGTGTGGGACGTGGCACCATCCTGTTGGAACCAGACATTTCCTAGATGCATTTCTTCAAGAGCTGGTTCGAAAAAGTTTTTAGTCATGTCCACATACCGCTGTGAATTGACAGTAACTGCATGATTTTCTTCTTCAAAAAAATAAGGGCCAACAACTCCAACTCTCGACAACGCATACCACACTGTCACCTTAT